ACAGACAACCCCTCGACAATATGCGTTTTTGCATTGCATAGATGCAAAAAACGCATAAAAAAGAAAAACAGAAAAACTGCAAGTCATGCAGAAGACGAGACGAATTTCCAAGAGGAATGTGGCTGATCGAAGCATCAAAGCAAAAATCTACTCCGCTACCATCCTGACGTAGCTAAAAAAGATTACCTCCTCGTTCTGAGCGGTGGACTTTTTCCAGTCATACATTCCAAGCAAATATTTCCATGCTTCTTTCCTTAGTGATGGGTCCAAACCGCCGCGAAAGACAAGAACTTTCAACGGATGAACATCTTTGAAAGTACCATCAGCAAATCTGAAGAAATTTTAAAAAATTCCTGCAGAAATAAAATGACCTATCGCCAAATGATAAAAAAGAATACAGCAAAGGACTGGCTAACTAGTTTTAGCTTACTTGTACTTCCGCCAAATTTCTTCGGTGACTGGCTGTTCTCTGGTGAATTCAGGGCGCTGGGGCAATTCCAACTGCGTTATAAGCTCGAATCCTGCATCGTCATGCAATCTGTAACAACTGTCATTGGTATATCGAGATTTACCTACACTGGAGCAAAGTACGGCGTACCTGAGAGTGCCGGCAGCTTCTTCTTCCCTCTCTCTCAAATCTCTCATCGCTCTGATCTGTTCTTCAGCGCTTACCGCATCTGATTCCAACAGCGATGGAATGACCTGAACAGATATTATTCACAAAGCATAAATGGGCTTAGCCAGTTTCCACTGATGTACAGATTACTTCCGTAATTTAGTTCGCGAATGGCCAGTTACAGACAGGCGGTGAAAAAAAGGACGATGACGGATAACCTGCATAATCTCCCTTCGATCGGTGAGAAGACTGAGGTTGAAAAAAAGTGAAATGAAACCAAAACAAAGAAAATCTTACTTGCTCTTGCACGAATGAAGCCACCTTGCCAAGGCCAGTCATCGCCGTTGCATATGGCCGCGCCATCATGCGCTGAAGAAATTCACAGACATCAACGGCGAAGAAAATAACTGGCCAACGCACGGGCTGCCCGTGCGAAGGTGCTTTTTTGCATAGTTCCCCGGAGTTTTGTCGCTACCGGCACCGGTTTCTTCGGCAAGTGCTTCTAGTTAGACAAACAAAGACTGGCCGCCAGAACTGTCAGGAAACACCCCCTTAAAATTTCAGTTTTCTAGCTTTCCTGACTCCTGCGTTTAGCAACTTGCTGGAAAAAAACTTTCACAGGCCCGTACGTGGGTATCACGCACACCCGATGTCCAGGTTTGAACTCGTTGAGACTTACGTGGACGGGAACATCCTCTTAAAATTACAGTCTTCTAGCTTTTCAGGTCCTTGAGTTAGCAACTTACCCAAGAAAAACTTTGGTGAGCCCGTGCGTGAGTAACACACACACACACCCGAGAGCTGGGTTTGAGCACATTAATACCCACTTGGAAGGGGAACATCCCCCTAAGATTTCAGCTTTCTAGCTTCTCAGATCCCCAAGTTATCAACACACCAGAAAAAAATTTTGGCGAGCCCATACGCGGGTACGACGCTTACCGAAGGGCTGGGTTTGAGCTCATTATTACCTAGTTGGACGGGGAACATCCCCTTAAAATTTCAGCCCCCCAGCACTTCTGGTTTCCGAGTTAGCAGATTACCCGTAAAAAAACTTTGGCGGGCTCTTACGCGGGTACTATGTGGGTAATGGCGCCCATTTTGGGGATTGGGGCTCGTACGTGCATGTAGATTAAGTTCCCAAAGTTTC